ATCCCAATTACTTCAGTCACTGAATCAATCCACCTCATAGAGGGCCTTCCCCTCCTGCGCTGTCCCTCCACCCTCCCAAGCATGATGTCCTTCTCCAAGGACCAGAAACTCCTTAGAGCTTTGAAAAGAAAAAATACCAGTGTCTGGACCCTACTGGTGACTTACCAGAGTCCCAGTCTCACTGGTGGGGGCACAGTGCTTTTCAAAGCTGCACTCTGGTTCTATTGCTCCATGGCTGCCAAGAAGCTCTGGTGTGCTAGTAAGCAACAGTCAGAAGCATGCTTCGAATTTAAATAGTTGCATTCATGATCATGGCAAAAACCGAAATCTCCTTTCCCAAGAAGTATCCGGTTCAGTCTGTCCTTCCTGCTCTCTTCTCTGCTTCTTTACACTGACTTCTGAAGTCGCAGAGCAGGCAGCAGTCTAGATTCCAGAGTGAAAGACAAGCAGCCTTTGCACAATGAGCTTTAATTTGTATTAAAGAGTTTCTCATTCCTCTCCTGTATGTGAATGCAGAGTAAATACCGCCAGCAGCCTCAGTTGTTCAAGTACACAGCAGTGACCGACTCGCCCAGCCTCCTCCATGCGAAATTCAGCAATCAGATTACCAACGAGGTAACAGCTCTTGATGACGTTGTGCACATTATGAAACTGTATGTTTGTAGGGTGGGGTAACAAGAAGAATATGAGTGTTTTGTGGAGTTTAAGATGAAGAAGAGTATTGGTATATAAATAGAGGCTAACCATTTTCTTAAAGGAGTCCCTGGTGGCACGGTAGTTAAGGGTCCAACTACTAAGTCAAAGGTAGGTAGTTCAAATCCATTATCACTCCATGAGATAAATATGTGGTAATCTGCTTCCATAAATATATAGCTTTGGAAATCCTGTAAGGTGGTTCTACTCTGCCTCATAAAGTTGCTGTAAGTTGGAATCAGCTCACCTGCATACAATAATAACTAACATTTGCTGGTTTAGTCTACAGTTTTGCTACCCAAGTGTGGTTACAGATTAGCAGGGGAAGCTAGTTAGACGTGCAGATTCTCAGAGGCCATCTCAGTCCCACTGAGTCCAAACGCTTATTTAACAAGATCTCAGGAGATTCCTTGGCACATTAAAGTACATAAAGTGCTGATCCAGTACTATACGTTTGTTCTATGTAAATATTGGCCAATCAAGCTGTAAAAGGAGCAGATGTAATGTGGAGGTGGCTGAGTCTGACTTCTGCCTGCTTCATGAAGGGGAACTATCCCCATCAATAATATTCACAGTACAAAACAAATAGCTTCATGGTCAGATATGCCACCCCCTCCCCATACTCCTGCTTTCCATGCTGTATTTCTATTAATTATAGTGTCCAATGTTCATTGCAAATTGACTCACAGACTTTACTCACAGTGTGGAGTTTATTAGGGAAATAGGTTGGGGAGTGGGGGAGACAAAGAATATCACACAATGCAAGTCAAGGTTTAGTCCAGCAGTCCCAAGCCATATTAACAGCAAGACACAATTCCTCAATTAGTTCACACAGCTTATCAGTTAACAAGGGAAAAGTCCAGGTTCAGGTCAGCAACACAAATACAAATCTGGTTTCCTCAGTCATCCAGCAAACTTTATCTCAGAGTAGTTTCAAGTAAACTTTTCTTTCAATCATCAAGCAAGCAAAACCTTTATCTCCTTTTCTTTCAATCATCAAGCAAGCAAAACCTTCCATCTCCAAGGTTCCTCTGGTTACATCTTGCCACAGTCTTTTCACAGCAGTACCACAGTACCTTCACTCTCTCTCCACCATCATCCCTGATGTTGTGGAAAGTGCACCCTTATATTGGTCCTACAGCTGTGGATGATTTGCAAGACCATGTGTCTGCAGTTAAGGTAGCTGGAGACTACCCCAAAGGAGGCTAACACAATGGATAGAAAGGCCAATTTTGTGACACCACACAAGACTACACTTTTTAATTGGATTGATTGTCATGGGGAAAAATCTTGTCAGGCTTCTTGATTCTGTACCCCTTTTCTTCTCACACGCCTTTTCCCCAGTCCACATTTTAATATGAAAGGATCTCAATACAGCGTTCCACTTCAGTTGGTTCTACTCCTTCCTATTGGCTCTCTTACATGAATATATTTGAATGATATCTTTTATTTTTATTTAAGAGTTTTTTTCAGAAGCTAACCTTCAGAAGTCAATTGCGATTTGACTATACTAATAATTGCATTCCCTCATCTCAAGTAAAAAAAGTTAGAAATTGAAGCCTACTATAAGAAAATACAAGGAGAGAATTCAAGATTGTATTCTATGATTACCTGAATGAAGAGTTTTCCTTTCTTGTCTCCCTTGTGAGCAGGATACTGACAAAGTAGTCTTGTTTCTTGTGATGGTCTTGCCTTGGGGACCTCCCCAACCACAGACAGATCCACATCTAATCATTAGAAGAGATGGTTTTGTACTGGATGAGGCTTTCCAGGGATGCCTGTTGAGTTTACCAATGCAAAGAATCTGGGCTGGGCTAGTAGGACAAGATGTGGAGCGGGGCATTGGAACCTCCATTCTCATAAGCAGTAGATTCTGGGTGGTGCAAAGAGTTAACATGCTGGACTGCTAACTGAAATGTTGGAGGTTTGAGTCCATACAGGGGTACCTTTGAAGTAAGATCAGACTTTCTCCTTCCCCCCAAAAAAGTCACCCTATGGAGCATAATTGGTCTGTCCCATATAAGGCTGCCATCAGTTGGAATCTCCTAGAGAACAATGGAAGAAAAAAAAAATACAGCACGTAGGGCTTCTCCTACCTCAGGTCTTAATATTGTCTTTAGGTAACATCATCAAGGGAAAACTGAACAATTTGAAGAGCCTTGTAGGGGGCTTTGGTGGCCCAGTGGGTGAAGAGTTGTACTGCCAACCCAAAGGAACGTGATTCAAATCCACAAATTGGTCTGTAAGACAAAGATGGGCAAACACCTCTTGGTCGATTAACTGCCCCTGTAAAGCCTCTGAAAAACCTCTCGAGGCTCAGCTATGAGTTTGTTCCCACTCAATGGTACACAACAACAAAAACATAGTATTACTAAACTTAATTTTCTTTTCTTGGCCTATAACTAAGTAATAGAAATTGCAATTCCTTACATATTCCTTTGATATCATTCAGATAAGGCTTTGAACAAATTCAGTCATACTGATACAGAAAAAAAAAGGGATGGACTAGCATTTGGACAATGTTGTTATACTGGAGAAATAACTGGAACAGGAAAAGTATGAGTTGGAAGAGTCTTGATGAGTCCTTTCAATAGTCTAAGGGAGGAGACTGGATAATTTCCAGGACTACAGAGAGCAACTTTTATTTAAAGCATAGTAATACACCTTTTTGAGTCAGGCACAGTTGTTTCTGACTCTGTCAGTCAAGAAATTTGGTTCCTGTGCAGCAGGCACACTGTCCTTGTTTTCTAGGAGGCAGATTCTGTTGGGAGCAAAACATTGACTTGAGTCACTTTCTCCATTCTAGCTCATCTTGCTACACCCACATTTCACAAATTTGGGGTTCATTCCAGTTTTGCTCCATTGGCCATCACTGAACTAAGAACTGTTTCAAAGCCCTGCGCTCACCCTGGCTCAGGAAAGACTCTCTTTATTGATCTGAATTACCAGGACTGACTTTTTACAAACATTATCATTGTTGTTAGGTGCTGTTGAGTTAAACAAGACTCAGAGCAGTCCTGTGAACAACATCTCTGGACCTTGTTCTATCTTGCACAAACTCACAAACTCAGATATGCTCATGCCCATTGTTAAAGTCACTGTATCAATCCATCTCGTGTAGGGTCTTCCTCTCTTTCTCTAACCCATCACCTATCTAAGCACGATGGCTCTTTCCAAGGAATGACCCCTCCTAACAACATGCTCAAAGCATGTAACATGGAGTTTTCTCATCCTTGTCTCTGAGGAGCATTTGGGTTGGACTTTATCTAAAACATAATTGTTCTTTTGGCAGTTCATGGAACACTCAGTACTATTCTCTAACACCATACCTCAAAAGCATTGATTCTTCTGCTGTCATTCTTAGTCAATCACCCAACTCTCAGATGCATAGCTAGTGATTGAAATGACCATGGCTTGAATCAGATGTGCCTTTGTCTTTAAACGGACATATACTGCTCCTCAGTACTTTAGAGAATTCCTTGACTTTCCCCAATGTCTTTTGATTTCTTGACTGCTGGCACCAACGGTGTTGATTGTGGCTCTAAGTAAAAGGAAATCTTAGTCTACCCAATTTCAGGCAAGGGATCTGAACATTGTGAAAACTGCAGAAAAACACACTACTGATTTTTTTTTCGTATTTCTGTTTTGCCCAGCGCCTCTATAAGGCAGCAGGAGAAGATACCAGACACAAGTACACCATGACCCTGGGGCTTCCTGAGTTTGTCCGAGCAAAAACCAATGCGGCCAATCTGAGTGATGTAAGCCTTTCTCTTTGCTGAACTTCTGGCCTGCTCCCATGGTGCTTCCAGCTGTGTCTCTGAAGCCAGACACTCGTGACCCTTCAGAATTCTCCAGAGACTTTCGAGCTGTGTTATTGTAAATGCTTGTGTCCAGCATGTCTTTGCACAAATGTGTTGAGTGCCATGCTAATGGCATGCTAAGGAGCTAATAGAAAGCTTTGGCCTGTCAGAAATTGATTCTGGAATACCACACCACAGATGAAAGCATGAACCTTTGTTCATCCACTGGTATAATTGAATTTTAAGAAAGATCTGCATGTGCTCCTACTTTAGGTGAAATACAAGGAGTCTTGGTGTAATTTCCGTGCTCAAGGCTACAAGCTGACAACAGAGGCGCTTCCCTTCCAAGCAGCCCGGGCCTCTGGAAATATCGCCAGTGATGTGAGTTGAATAGTTGGATGCAATGCTCTGACCTTCCATCCGGCCCAATTCCTGTTCACTTCATGTAAAACACCGTCTATGGTTGATGGTCCTGAAAGAAAGCAAGTCTACAAACCATGCAAGACAGGATGAATATATTAGTAATGAATGAGGATCTTGGAGGGAGGGAGGGTAGGGAAGGCTGGATAATCAGAAGCTGAGGAGTCCTTGGGTGGTGCAAATAGTTAAGCATTCAGTTGCTAGCCAGAAAGAAGGTGGGCAGTTCAAACCCACCTGGAGACAATTTACTTCTGAAAGGTCACAGCCTTGAAGACTGGAGGGAGTGCGGCCCTAGTCTGCATATCTAGGGCCTGAATGAGTCAAAATCAAGTCCACAGCAGCCAGCTATAGTCAGAGCGAGATTCAGACCAAGGTCCCCAGTGAGAGGGAGGTTATTATCTTTTTTCTCATTGCAGTGAATTCTGAAATGACTAGAGAACAATCCTCTTGTAATGTGGAGGTGCCTGTCTGCCCACTCCACCTGGAATTAGAAAGAGAACTTGCAGTAGAAGCTGTAATGGCCCCCTCTGCTCTCTGCACTTCCACGCGCTGGTGTTATGAGTTTACCAGCTGTGTTCTACCACCCTTGATAACGTCCGTAGCTTTGGGATATGAAGGTGACTTCCTCTCTCCTGAAAACAAATCACAGAAAGTGTGGACTTCAAATAAATGGATCCTGTCTTCTGGGTTTAATGTATTGCCAAGTGTGAACGAATAAAGCAGAAGTTTCTCTTTTACCTCTTTTTGATAAATTCCTCTTGGCCATAGGACACGGAAGGGGACTGGAGCCTTACTTTGTTTCTGAGGGTCTGATTTTAATTAGGTTGCTAGACTGGAACAATGCTTTAATTGTTCGTTCCCTGGAGAGGAGGGCATGCTCACAGGCCAAGCCGAGTGTGGTGTATTTTTTTTTTTATGATTGTCTCCTAAGCTCTGGTGGACTAGTGGTAAAGAGATGCACAGTCAATCCAAAGGCACTTAGTTTGAATCCACCCGCTGCTCCGTGGGCAATCTCCCCCTGTGAGATTTATAGCCTCTGAAATCCCAGTGGAGGGTCAGCTGTGAGTCACTTCCAAATTGGAAGCACACAACAACAACAGCAATGGGAGAAAAGAGTCCCTGGTAGTCCAGGTGGTTAGGCGTTTAGCTACTAACCCTAATGTTAGAACTTCCAGTCTTTCTGGCAGTCCCTTTCTAAAATGTCATCCGTTGAAACCCGGTGGAGCACAGTTCTATCCTGGCACAGATGGGGTCACCTTGGGTCAAAATCAACCCAGCATCAGCTGGTAACTGGTTGTGTAGGAGAAGGTAGTTTTTCTGGGTCTGCAGTGAAAATATGCAGATAGAATGCCACTGGTCAAGCGCTGGCCCCTGACCGGCTGGTCTTCTCTTGCAGTTTCTCTACAGACATGACTTTGTGAAGGAACGGGGCCGGCTCATCGGGCCGCGCAGTGTGAATGATGACCCCCGGCTCCGGCACTGCCAGCGGATGGGCCAGCTGCAGAGCAAGCTTCAGTACCGGAGGGAGGCGGCAGACACCCAAAGCCAGTACCACCTGCCCATGGACATGGTGAACCTCGTCCACGCCAGAAAGGCCCAGGCCTTGGCCAGTGACCGTGACTACAGGACCCGGTGCCACGAGTTCACCGCGCTGCCCGAGGATTTGAAGATGGCCTGTGCCAAGAAAGCCCATGCGCTGCAGAGTGAGGTATGGGACCTGGTGGGATGCACCACCACCTTCCTCCTGCCATCAAAGCATGTCAAAATCTCTGTGCCCTGCCTTGTCCTACTCTGAGCCCCTGGACAATTACCTATCCCATTTCTGTGTGCCAGTTACAGTAATTAATTTTTAATCATTCAATAGGTATTCATAAAGCATCTATCGAGGTCTTGGGAATACAGCGGTCAGCAAGAGGTCCAATGGCTTTGCTCATGGGGCTGCCATTCTAGTGTACCCATCAGCAATAATGTTTAGGGAGCTCTTAACTCTCTGCTGAGCCCTGGTGGTGCTGTGGTGAAGCCACCAGCTCCTCAGTAAAGAGTTGTGGGTTCAAACTTATCAGCTGCCTCTCAGGAAGAAGTGACAGTCTATGTCCAAAGATTGAGGGTCTTGCAATGCCCATGGGACTCTGTCTGTGCTGTAGGATTGGAAGGATCTCTGTAGCAACAGGGTTTTGTTTGTGTCTTCCTCTGTGTTAGTCATTGGGTGGAATGTCTTGTAGGATCCTCTCATTTAATGTTGTGTTGATTGTTGTTGGGCATCATTGCGTCTTGGTGTCATTGAGTTGATCCTGACTCCTAGCGGGCATGTGTGTGACAGGATGAAGCGCTACCCCTCTCTCTGTTGTTCTCGCGGTTGCTGGAGCCCTTTGGTGCAGTGATGACGTCAGGCCATCTCGTCGAAGACCTTCTGTTTTACCAAGCAGATATCTGGATCCTTCACTCACTCATTTCCATTCGGTCAGAATCAAGTCATAGCTGAGCCTTTGCTGGACTTCCAGAGTTGTAAATCTCATGTTGCTGTTGTTGCTGTTGATTGCTGTCCAGTTGAGCACGACTCAAAGCGACTCTATGAACAAAAGACCTAATGTCATCATTAACTGTCATCAAATAACTGTCGTCATTTCTCTAAGTTCACAGAGTTTCCAGAGGCATGCAGTTTAGGAAGTGGATGCCACTCTTGCTTCCAAACCTGTTTTACAGCCAGGAGCTCCACCAAACACTGTCCTCATGGGAAGAGAATATCCATCTGTCCCCCCAGGAGCCCCTGGTGGATTCTAGCTGCCAGAGAGGCTCGGCCTTTGGGTTAACAGTGCATCTCCCGAAGGACTGTCCTAGCAGAGCTACCTGTCTTGACAGTAATGGGATTATTCCTATTTCTACAGATGCCATGGTGTATGCAGCAATAGCCTAAGTGATGTGCCCACAACCATACAACTGGCAGAGCAGGGACTTGCTTAAGACCATAGAGGACTTGTACAGGGCAAAGAGGCCCTGCTGGCTTTGGGCTCTTCATTCTGCCTTCAGTGCTGTGCGGCTCCCACAGGAGGCTGGAGTAGGGATCTGAGGGCCAGGTGTTGTGGCCTAGCGTTAAAAAGCTGTGCTGTACTCTCAGAGGCACATAGTTCAAATCCCCCAGCGGCTCCTTGATGAGCAATGTCCCTCTGTGTGGATTGACTGCCTCTGAAAACCCGGTGGAAGGTCAGCGATGGGTCAGCTCCGACACAATGGCACACCACAACCACACCAGGTGGAGTAGAGAGGGGATGGCGGCAGACGGCACTGCTGAGACTGTGCTAATTCATTTCTTTAAGGGGCAGCAAGAGCCCTTCCTTTGCAAGATGCTGTGAGGGTGGAATGAATCTAAAGCAAATCACACCCTACACAAGGTAGTGATTATCAAGATTCTTATCTGGTGGCTTACTGGTAAGGAGTTGCTCTGCCAACCCAAAGGCAAGCAGTTCAAATCCCCCAGTAGTTGCCTTGAGGGAGAAAGATAGGTAATCTCTTCGCTTGTGATTTACAACCTCTGTAAACCCGCTGGAGGATCAGCTATGAGTTGATTGTGACTATTGAGTGAAAGGGTGAGTGATGACAACACTTTCTCACATTCCCTCCCTCGCCACCTCCTGGGTGTGATGCTTTACATTATCCCTGGGCTAGAACTTCAGCTGGATGCTGCACCACCTATATTTGCAATGGCAACATTCCAAAATGGGGGTGGGTGCTGTGAAACCCCAGTATGTAAATCTGAAGATAGCTGCAGACCTCAGTGTCTTGGAGAAAAAGGAGGGGCTGCCGTCTGGGGAAGACAGATTCAACCAAACAGCAACCGGATTTCATTCTCTTAGAATCCTCCTCCGAAGCCATCTTCCAGAAGCTGATTCTTCTCGGCGCCCCCCCCTCGTCCCCCTTTCATTGTGAAGTCTGGGGCCCGGCCTGTTGTTTTTAGGGTCTGTGTGAATAGGCAAAGCGGGGCTGGGAGCTGCAATATCAATAGACGATCCATTTATGAGCGAGTCGGAGGCACAGTCAGATCTTTGGGGAACCTGCATCTTGCTTTCTGACTTACCTGCAATCGTACTGTTCAGCTCAACAAAAGGCAAGTTGAAAGAGTGCTCCCCACTTCATCTCGCTTATGAAAGGAGCAAGGCCCGGCTGTGAAGAGGCCCTGTAGGATTATTCTCTGTAACTTAGAAATTTATCCAATTTTCTCTGTTCTTTATCAGAGTGGAAGGCAAAAGCGTTGCTGGTGTAGACTGAAAGATCGCGGTATGAAAAGCAATCTTACTGACATGGGGTTTTGAAACCTGGTTCTGCTCCCGAGTGATGTCTCCCTCCCCCCGCTGGACAGCAGAGTGGAATTTGCACGCGGACATTAACCAGCAGACAGTAGATCAGACATGGCCCCTCTTTGAGGCCAGCTGTGAGGAACGCTGTGAATCTGGAAATGAAAGCGAACTAAAAAGGCCGAGCGGCTAGTTTCTGGAGTGATATTTTGCGTTACAGCTCAGCTTATATCTAAATTAGAGAAATGCCATCCACTTCGTTTAGATCTAAACTTGAGAATTCCTTAGAGAGGATTTCTTTTTTTTTCCCCACACACCTTTAAAAATACTTAAGTTCCATCAAGAGAAGAAGAAAAACAGCCACGCAGCTGCCCTCATGGTGGGTGGGGGTGGGCAGATCAAGGAGGCGAAACGGGGTCCAACGTGTTAGCAGACGCCTAATCAGACTTATTGTCTTCAGACATCAAGTGCTGGTTTTTGCAGGAGCGATGACATCTCAGATAGAGCCTCTGTCTTCTGAGCCTTTAAAATGAAGACTGAAGACAGGGCTGAGCCCACTTATACAAACAGAGAGGGGGTAAACTGAGGCACAGAGCAATTAGAAATGATGTACTCCTGATTAGCTAGTTGTACCCAAGTTTATTCCAGTATTATTACAATCCTTCTGTATTTGTTATCATTATTATAGTAATATTTATTATTATATTAGATAATATATTATTAGAATATTAATTATTAATATATTCTGTTGGGGTGAATACAACTCATAGGACACTGAACAACAGACCTGAACCCTGTCCTGTCCTGTACCATCCTCCTCAGCTCAAGCATGCAGAGCCCTTTTCTTCAGTCACTGTCAATCCATCTCTTCTTTCCCTCCCTCCCTCCCTCCCTCCCTTCCTTCCTTCTTCCTCTCTCTTTCTTTCTTTCTTTCTCTCTCTCTCTCTCTCTCTCTCTCTCTTTCTTTCTTTCTCCCTCGCTTCCTCGCTTCCCCTCTCCCTCTCTCTCTTTTCTCCTTCCTTCCTTCCTTTCACTTACCCTGCACCTTTCCAAACATGATGCATAGTTGTTATTGTTGTTGATTGCCTTTGAGTCGAGCATGACTCATAGTGACCCTATGAACAAAAGGCCTGAAGCCCCTCTACAACTAACGACATTTATCAAAGTTCATAGAGTTTCCAGAGGCATGTTTAAGGACATGGATGCCACTCTTGCTATGTATTTAGGCCCTCGTTTTAATGAGAATAGAAAGGCTTCCTCTCGGAGAAGTTTAAAGTCTGAGTAATTGAGAGAGAAACTGAGTCATATTTCAGCAAAGTGGTTTTCTCCAAGTCACAGCATGTTTGATCTGGAGCTCACAGCCTCTGTTATCAACTGAGAAGTATGTGGATGTTTTCTGTTTTGGGTGGCAGCTGGTTCCTCACTGCTAGGAAGAAGCAGGATAAAGGGTTTTAAAGCTCAGGTGACCCCAGGGACATCTCGGTGTTTTCTTTAAGTGATCATTCCCTCCTCCTGCTTTGAGCCACTGGTCAGTGCCCTGGTGTCCTCGTCTGGAATCCGTTCTTTAATTCCTGGTGGGAGACACTTGTGGAATGTGCTCAAACTCCTGAGACAAAGCATTATTACAAATACTTTTGCAAAGAGGTCCCAATAGTCTTGGACATTGTCCTGATAGAACTCAATGGTTTTTCTTCCTGCAGTTTCGCTACAAATCGGACCTGATGGGCATGAAGGGTGCTGGATGGCTGGTGCTGTGCTCGCCACAGATGGAGAACGCGAGGAAGGCCGGAGAACTCATCAGCGAGGTACCACACGTCTTCTGGGAGCTGACAAGAACAGCCAAGCCTTTGTTTCCTTTTTAAAAGGGAACTGGCTCAAGGGGTGGGCTCCCAAGAATTCCCTGTGGCCACTTGGACAACTGGTGTTTTTCAGGAGCCATTTGCAAGCACATCCCAAAGTCGGATGAGATTTCCCTCCAGATAAACTCACTGCTAGAGAGCTAAAGCCTCTTCCAGAGCAGGCAGTGAACGATGGGTGACGCCTTAGAAGGCCGCCAGCTGGCACGTTATGTAAAGTAGAATCTAGACCGGCTCATTACTTTCAAGGATCAGGGAGGGAAATTGACACCTGCTTACTGAATTGACTCATGCAGTCCAGTGTCTGGAGGGTATATGATTCCAAACCCCTAAGAAGCCAGCCGAATTAGAACAACTACAGCTACCATCAAGATCTGGTGGCTTAGGGAGTAGGGAGTTGTGCTGCCAACCCAAAGGCAGACAGTTCAAATCCACCAGCCGCTCCACGGGAGAAAGATGGGCAGTTTCCTCTCGTGTGAAGTACAGCCTCTGAAAATTCAGTGCAGGGTCAGCTGCGAGTCAGTTCCAACTTGACACCAGTGAACAACAGCCAGCTGCCATTACTGTCAAATCCATCCTGACTCCTAGTGACTTTGATGTGAGAAGATCACCAGGTCGCTGGGTGGATTTGAACCTCAGACTGTTACTTGGCAGTTAAAGTTATTAATGATTTGCACCACCTAGGGTCAGCACTGATCTGTGAATTGCTGTGAATAACTCGTGGTTGCTATGATGCTAAACACTGTGACACTAATGTGCCAAATGCGATCATGGTTACCCATGGTGGACAGTGTTTGGTGGAGCTCCCCGATTAAAACAAGCTTGGAAGTAAGTAGAAGTGGCATCCACTTCCAAAATAGCTTGCCTCTGGAAACTCTATGAACAGTGCTCAGGTCTTTTGTTCATTGGGTTGCTAAGAGTTGTCTCTGACTCGATGACACTTAACAACAACAACAGGGTCTCCTGTAGAACGTCAAATAAGGGTAAGTTACAAAGGGATGTGTGCACGATCTGAGCTCCCTCCTGCGTCACAGCCTGGGGTCTTTGCCCTGGAATCAATGCCCTGGCGAGTGGCACTGTGTTCTACAGTTTCTTAGGAACAGAACTTACCTGATCAGGGCCCGTGCAACGCCAGGTGGGGCTCAGTTCTGCTCTTGCCTGATTTTTCAGCGTGTTGAGCTGTGGTGTTCTGTAGCCTCTGTCTTTGAGAGATGAATCATCTTGATAATGCTTTTTATCACAGAGGGAACTGGCCATTTATCCGTGCCCTTGACTGTGCCCATCAGTAGGAGAGCCTTGTTCTCCAGTAGCGTCATTGGCACATTTGGTCAGTGTGGGTAGGTGGGGGTGAAGCTGCATCTGGACAAATGCATGGTTTGTGTCTATGTTTTTTACAGACCAAGTACCGTAAGAAGCCCGACAGCATCAAGTTCACCACAGTGGTCGACTCCCCAGACCTGGTGCATGCCAAGAGCAGCTACCTGCACTGCAACGAGGTAGGAGCCTTCTCCTTCATCTCAAGTGTGCAGGATCTGGTAGTGACTGTCAGTGGTCAGTGCTTAAAAACCAGGGGCTGTGGGTAGATGTTAGTGCAGACCCTGCCTTTAACATCAGTACCAAACCTTGGATGGCCACGGGACAGTTCCTTAAACTCATGTAACCTCAGTTTCCTCAATTCAGAAGGAAGAATATTGTTAACAACTATTTCATAAGATTAAGTGAAAAAATGTGTTCCAATTTGAATTAGAATTTTGTAAATAAACTAGTGAAAAAAAAACACCCCAAAAATAGAAAGGGGGGGAAAAAACCCAAAAAACAAACAGCAAATGAAAACCCAAGCCTGTTGCTACCAAGTTGATTCCAACTCAGAGACCCTCCAGGGCAGAGATGAGCTGCCCTGTTAGCTGTAATCTTTACAGACGCAACCTGCCGCGTCTTTCAAAGTCACTGGTGAGTTCACACTGCCAGGCTGTAGTCTCTTGAGTGCTTTACCACTGCAGCATGGAGGCTGCTTAAAGAAATTTAGTGGGGCTTAAAGAGAGAAAGAAAAGCACATAATACTTTCAACAGGTGCCTAAACAGTGAATCAAAGTCCTCAGTGAATGTTCTTTACTGTGATTTTGTTAATAATCATCATAATTTTATATATTATTGCCTAACATTTTGAAGCAGGAGTGGCATCCACTTCCTAAACCACATGCCTCTGGAAACTCTATGAACCTGGAGAAAGCACGATAATTATAGAAAGGCTTCAGGCCTTTGGTTCATAGGGTCGCTATGAGCTATGCTCGGCTCGACGGCAATCAACAACAACATTATTATAGAAAGTAACTGGGGTCCAGGGCGTAGGTGTGTTGGGGTCAGTGAGACTGGCTCAGGACAGGGAAGGCTTCAGAGCTGCTGTACATAGGGTCATTATGAATCCCAGGCAACTTGATGGCATGTAACAACAACATACATAGATAGATATAGGTGTAGGTATAGGTAGAGATTGATAGAGCAAGAGCCAGAGTGAGAGAGAGAGAGAGATAAAACACAAACTCAGCTAGCTACATTTTCATTGCTGATTGATGACAATAGAATTCAAAACTTATCATGATTGAGTGAGACAAAAGAAAAGAATAGTTATATTAAAATGTCTATCTGCTTGGCCCTCTATGAGGTGGACTGATTCAGTGACTAGGATAATTGGGATGGGAGTGTCAGAGACAGTGTGATTGGCACAGGACAGAGCAGAGTTTAGGGCTGTTGCACATAGGGTCACTATGAGTCGCAGGCGACTCAACGGCACATAACAACAACAACAACATCTGCTTTTATTCTCTGCATTATTTAGCCTCATTTCCTCTCTCCTGTACTTATTTTGAGGGAGCTCCTTTGGTCTATTGGTTAAGGAATTGTGCTGCCAACCCAAAGGCAGGCGGTTCAAATCCACCAGCCACCCTACAGAAAAAAGATGGGAAATCTCTTCTCATGCAATTTACAGCTTCCGAAAACTTGCTGGAGGATCAGCTATAAACTGGTTATAACTCCATGGAAATGATGGTCATCATCATGTTTATTCTGAGAATAGAAAGTTTATTTTTTTTTCTGAAATCGCCAAGGGATTCAACTTAGCACACACAGCCACCAGGCCACTTGGGCTTCACTGAGGGCGGGAATGTGAACCGATCAATTCAGGTTCACAGAGACTTGTTTGATCTTGGAAATGAATCAGACATATTGGAAAATTTTATTTTCTTAGATGAAACTCAAACACTTCCTAAAGTTTTTCATAATTCTTAAATGATCATCCTAAGTACAGCAGAGAAAAACAAAGCTTAAGAGATATAATTCTGTTTCCCTGAAACCCAGGCAACTAGGCAAACTTTAATTTTCTGAACATGTGCTTTGACACTTTATAATAAAAAGGAGATATTAACTGTTGTGTCTATTATATCTCTTCCTATTTATGTTAAAGAAAGACATTGATGCTTTCTTTCACATCAAAAACCATAGCTCATGTTCAATTGCAAAGATTCTCTAAAATACTCATAGATTTTCTATTCTTTGTAAAACATATAGGTTGGTGATCCATTTGGAACAAATCTTTTCTTAAAACATACATTCTGTTGTTTATGTCATAAGTATGTAACACAGCACCTGTCAACCTAGCATTTTTCAGTTGCATGATTTAGTGCTATCAGTTAGGTTAACCCCATTGTGGTGTCCTTGGGTGGCACAGTTAAGTATTGGCTACTAACCGAAAGGTTGATAGTTCAAGTCCTCCCAGGAGCACCTTGGAAGACAGACCTGGCAGTCTGCTCCTCAAAGGCCACAGCTTTTCAAATTCTCTGGAGCAGATGCTGCACACAGGGGTTGTCAAGAGTCAGATTAGACCACCAACAACAACATCAAAGTCATGTCACACAGCCATCGCTCGTAAACATGGCTGAATTCCTCAGCGCTCTACACAGATCGTGATGCGTATGATGTCAAGAGAGGCTGTTCCATGGAAAAGGGACGTCAGTGAAAGAGAAGAAGACCTCCAGAGAGATGTACTGACACAGTGACTACAGAAACGGGCTCAAGTGTGTCAGGGATGATGAACATGGCAGGGTTTAGGTCTGCTGTTCAGACGGTTGCTGTGAGTCATACTCACCTTGACGGCACCCAACAACAACAACATCCATAACAACACTTAACACCTCATCTCAGTCATAGGATCACTATGAGTTGAAGTTGACCGGATGACACCTGAAAACAACAATAATTTTTTTTTAAGTCCAGGAAGCTATAGTGGGTAAGGTGTTGCACGGCCAATCCAAAGGCAGGTAATTTGAGTTCTCTACCTGCTCCTGGCCATGGTCTTTGGTATCACTTGTTATGCATCAGAGAGTTGGAGAATCACTAAGGAGGATAGAAGGAGAATTGATGCCTTTGAGCTGTGGTGCTGGAGAAGAGTATTGAGGGTACCATGGACTGCTAGGAAAAATTCATCCTGGAAGGGGTCAAACAGGGCTGCTCCTTGGAGGCAAGGATTCTAAGGCTCCGTCTAACATACTTTGGACATGTTGCAAGGAGGGAAAGGCCCTTGGAGAGGGATATAATGCTTGGGAGGGTGGAAGTACAGCGCCGAAGGGGAAGGCCCTCTATGAGGAGGATTGATTCAGTGACTGGGGTAATTGGGATGGGAGTATCAGAGTGTGATTGGCACAGGACAGAGCAGAGTTTAGGGCTATTGTACATAGGGTCGCTATGAGTCACAAGTGACTCGATGGCACATAACAACAACAACAACAACAACAACAGCAACCTGCCCCTGGGGTGAAAGTTGGACAGTCTCCACCCATGTGATTTATAGCTTCGGAAACCTGATGGCCTCGCTACGAGTCATCGACTCAACAGCAGTTGTTGTTGTTGTTATGTGCCATCAAGTTGCCTGCGACTCACAGTGACCCTATGTACAACAACCCTAAACCCTGCTCGATCCTGTGCCAATCTCATTGCCTCAGACACACCAAGTAGAAAGGGGTGTTTTGTTTTGTTTATTTAACTCCATCACTTCACCCGACCCTGGCCAGGCAGACACTCCCTCTAATTCATTGGTAGGTTGTGGGAGGCTGTATCCACGATGCTTTACACTGAGGGGAGGACAGAAAATAGGATCAACTTGGCTCCCCTGAGATTTCAACAAGTGCCTTTCCACACTCACCAAGCATTTCTCTTCCCTGCAGCGCCTGTACAGGTCTGGTGATGCCGCATCCCTGCATAGGTACACCTTGATCCCCGACCACCCCGACTTCGCCCGAGCCCGCCTCAACACTCTTCATCTGAGTGATGTAAGTGGACGTGTTGTTCATGTGGCATGCACATTTATTATGCAAGCTACACCCAGCAGAAGGAAACACGGCTTGATTCTGGGTCTCCTCACCACCCCAGCTGTGCCTGAGTCCTTCTGTCAGCTCATCTCATCAAGGGCGCCCCTTTCCACCGGCCTTCTCCTTTGCCAACCCATATGTCCTTTCCCAAGGCTTGGCCCCTCCTGAAAACATGCCCCAAATATTCTTGCTTATAAGGAACGATCTGGCTACACCTCTTCTCAGACATCCAATATTCACCAATGTCACAATTCAAAGGGATCAATTCTTCTCCCTCCCGTCATCCTTCTCCATTGTCCAACTTACATGTGCACACGAAGCAATTGAAAATGCTTTAACTTCGATCAGGTACCCTTAAATCTTTAAAGTGACACTCTAATTCTTTGGTATTTTAAAGAGGCCCTTTTTTGACAGAATTGTCCAGTGCAGTATTGCCATTTGATTTTTTTTTTCCTAGCAAAAAATATTTAATACTTATTTTTTTCTTTCTTTTAAAAATTTTTTATTAATTTTAATAAACATTGACAGAGATTTTGGATTTCTATTCATTCATTGGGCCATTTGATTTCTTTACTGCTGCCTTTACAAGCGTTGATGGTGGTACCAAGTAAAATGAAATCCCTGACAACATCGTTTTTTGCCTTTATCACGATGTTTATAGGCCCAGTTGTGAAGAATTTTGGGTTTTTTTTATGTCGAGGCATTATTGACACTGAAGGCTGTGGTCTTTGAGTGTCATCAGGAAACATAGACCGGGGCTGAATGACGTTAGTGAGCCGTCCTTGATGTGAGATTCTGATTTTGGTCTTGACTATAAAAATCAGCCACCCAGAACCCAAGAATTTTCTGGGTCACAGTCAGAGAGGGGTCCTGACCCCACAAGGGTAGGCACCTCTCCTGATTGGTTCCCGGGCCCCTTCCTTGGCCATGCAGAGGGAAACTTTGGAGACAGGATGGCAACGTCTCACCTGTGCTTTGGAAAGATGCCTCCATTGAAGCGTGTTGGGTCTGAATGCATCTGGAGCTTTTGTGCGTGGAGCTGTGGCCTCCAACATTTTGTTTCCCTCAGATGTGTGCCCTTTGCGTGCATAACGGAGAAGCTGTTTCCTAAACCCAGGCTTGTTGTTAGCAGGGGTTGGAGGCCCCTGCTTGTAATAGAATAGGCGGCTGCTTGGCCAGCAAAGCTGTGATCCTCGGATAACAGGTAGCAGGCGGCGGAATCAAAAGGCGTCGTCAGATCCCAATAACACAGGCTGCGAGTGTCCGCCTGGGGCCGCGCGGGGCCTCCCAGAGCCCGGCCATTCTTCTTGCCCTGGCCTTGCCATTGTGTCCTGGGGCTGCGTGCCCATCAGCAGCTGCTTCTGTTCACCCTGGAGCTGGCTGCCTCGCAGGGGTTGGCGGGAGGCACCGTCTAGTTAGCGTGTGTATTAGTTTGTTGCATTTGTAAAGCCCTGTGGGATCCCACGCAGTGAATGCAACCGTGCTTTGTAAATATGAGTTATTATGACCATTTGATGCTTTTGAGGGATGCGAGAGGGATAATTTTAGAATAGCAGCTCTGGTGGGCTGACCACCATCTGGGGAAGCGGGGCCTCCCCCTTCGCTGAGCTTGGACAAAACCTGAGTCTCATTAATGGTCCAAGGATGGGAGAAGGCAAGGCCTCTCGGAGGAACTATCAGAGACCCGAAGCAGTGGCCACTAGGATAAAACCCACTAGTTGACGGGGGTCTAGCGTAAGGTGCCCAGCCACCCCAGGTTGGCAATAAGAATCATCTTTCCAGTGACAAGAGATGCTACGCTGCAGAGTTCCAGAACTGAAATTAGCTGCCAGGGTATGCGGATATGGAGAACTCATGAACCTCTTTTGAAATAGCCCTTCTTCGGGGGCGTGTAGAATCCACACAATTGGATCAAGTGCTCCGTGCGGAAGATGTGGAGGGAAACTGACCTTCCTGAGCAAAGAAAGCCGTTGAGATGTGGAAGGCAGCGGAAATAACTAAGAATCAAATGACTCTAATGTGTGAGGATGAGGACACAACTGTGCCCACTGCGATAAAGAATGAGAACGCCCAGGGTTCCAAATCAAAGCGCCTACGCATCTAAAGGCTCCCAGTGGCAAGGGAAAAGCCTCCACAGAATAGGAAAGCGCGGGGAGGGAGGGAGTCACACGCCGGCAAACAGTACACAGAAGAGAAGTTCCCAGCAGAAAGGGCGCCAGTGCGCTGGGGACCATCCCGATCTGGGCCACAGTCTCTAGCTGACCCATGTGGACTCCAAAGCCCACGTTTATTGGAGATGAAACTGAACTGATGTTGGAGTTTGACATTGTGTAAAATCTGATGTCATTGCCTACTCCACATAAGGCATGGAGGCTGTCATTGGAAAGCCACTCTGGTGTTTTGGTGTCATGAGGGTTTCGACTCTTATTTATTCCTCTCATATCTGTGGGTCCATAAAGCAGGTGTGTTGTTACCCGGATGTCCTTTCCCCTCCAGAAATCTTGAACTTCTAGCTGCTTAACTCAGTGCTGGCCCAGGTGATTGGATCATGGTGGCCCAGCCGATCGAAACATGGTGGCCCTGTTTGTGACCCGTCAGGTCACTCCCGGCAGTGGCCGCTTCTGTGTCCCCCGGATCTTGGCTGCAGCAGACATTTAGCTGTGGTCTCTGGAGCTGGAGCTGATGAAGAAAGTGGGGGCGATGGTGGATGATGATGTGTCTCCCATGTTTGGCCCAAGCACCTTATGGTCCCGCTAGTTCCAGACCCAGACGTGAGGGTGAGGAGAGGAGGCACTCAGCTTTCCTTTTCACCTGCCACTTCCTGGTTGCTAATCCTCCCAACTCCCAGAGAGGACAGAAGCCGCAGCCTTGACCTCCATTTCCAGGTGACAAAGGAAAGGCTCTTAAGGGCCCCGCGACCTGGCACAGCTCCGGGGATGAGTGAGCGACCGGCACTGTCTGGGGGCTGTCACTTTGTCATCCTCTGGCAATATGTTCTGGCTGCTCTCTCCTGCCATCTCCCTTCTCTGTGGTGGAATAAAGGACAGCCCTCCACTGGGCTCGCCGGACGATGCCTTTCATGGAACCATTCCCTTATCTTGAAGAAAAAAAAAAGTATTAGCTACATGAAGGCACAGACGATTTTGATGCTTCTGTCGGTGATGCCGGTCTACCTGACCACTAAGGGGATATGATTACAGACGCCCAGAGGGTGTGTGAGAACAACTTGAAAAGGGGGAAAAATGAAAGAGGAAGATATGAAATACGTGGGTCAGGTGCTCGACCAGGATTTTGACAATAAATTCCATTCAGGTGAAGGCTCTTTCCTTAGTGCCGGCACCAGGGGCGCGTATGGAACGCAGCATGCCTCACAGTGATGGTGTGGGGTCTGGCCTCGAAGCCGGGCTCAGGGACCTCCTGGGAAGTCTGTGGAGCTACCAAACACATGGCTTTCAGACCTAAGGAACAGGGCTATCAGCAGGTGGGGAGAATCAAGGTTCTGCAAAGTTGCGCATTGGCAGCTGGTGACTATAATCCTGAGCCCGGCCAGTGAATGTAAAGACAGAGAAGGCTGCGAGAGGGCTGATGCTGGTGGGAAGTGTTAAAAGAGCCAGCTCCACAGACCACGCGGGCAGGGGGTTCATCCTCATGCTGGGGGGCTCAGTGCAAGCCTGCTGATGCCTCCGTGGTGAGCAGCTCCAGTCCTGGCCCTGGGCAGGTCCCCGGGATGACATAGGGGTCCTCGGTTCAGCCATCCTGGAGCTCAAACAGGCAGAGGGTACCAGATTGCTCACAGTCTCTTATGTTGAGAATGAACCACATGGAAAACAGAGGATATTCAATCTTCTTGTTATTTTCTCAACCTAGAAAGTCTACAGAAACTCCTGGGAGCAGACCCGGGCTGGTGGCTATGACTTCAGACTGGATGCTATCCCATTCCAGACGGCTCGTGCCTCCAGAGAGATCGCCAGTGACGTAAGACCCGTGTCTTGCCCTGAGTTACTATTTGGTGGTGTTTTGTTTATCCCAGCCCTGTTGAAGGATAAGTCACCAAGCTTCCTTCAGGATTCCATGCCTGGCCTGGTTTCTTAGCAAGTGGTAGTACAGTCTTGGGTGGGTTAATGAAATTATTAATGAAACTGAACTCAAGTTTATTCATGAAGCTGTTGTTGTTATGTGCCATTGAGTCACTTGCGACTCATAGCAACCCTATGTACAATAGCCCTAAACCCTGCTCTATCCCTTGCCAATCTCATTGTCTCTGACACGCCTAACCCCATTTCGCCAGTCACTGAATCAATCCATCTCATCGAGGGTCTTCCTCTCTTGCACTGTCCCTCTACCCTCCCAAGCATGACGTCCCTCTCCAAGGACTGGTCCCTTCTTGCAACATGTCCAAAGTATGTCAGACTAAGCTTCAGAATCCTTGCCTCCAAGGAGCAGCCTGGTTTCACCCTTTCCAGGACGAACTTGTTTGTTCTCCTTGCAGTCCATGGCATATTCAATACTCTTCTCCAGCACCACAGCTCAAAGGCATCAACTCTCCTTCTATCATGTAGAGATCTAATTAATACTTGTCTTGAAGAACAGGTGAACACATGGGGGAAAATTATATACAGTAGCTGCACACGTAGACATTCAAATATAGCAGCTATTGTCATTGAAGAGGAAGATAGTGACCAAATCCATTGTTCCTCAGAAGTAGGTCCGTGCTCAGCTGTGTACCGCCTGGTACCAGTCCATGTGAGATATGTACAATCATTGAGAGCAAACATCTAGAACAGAAACAGGTTGAGCAATCAAGCCTGCGGCATGTGGCTTCGTCTTGCTGAATAGGGTAGAGGCCGGTTTAATATTATCAAACTTACAGTACTATTACATACTAGTCATATGTTGACCTTTGATAGATTGGAAACTTAAGCAGCAAAACCAAATGAGATTGGTCCTTTACTACAGCTGGTTAAGGAGTACTAGCCTAGCTTCCCTGAGAGCTGGGAATATTTTGAGGAAGAGTGGAAGTGCTGATAATAGACATAGCTCTCTCCCGATTGGAGAGTTATAATAGCAACAGTGCCCATAGCTACTACCATGCATTTGAGCAAGTTATCAGGAGGGGTAACTTGCTTAGTAAAGTAGTAGTAGTAGTAGTTGTTGTTGTTAGGTGCCATCGAGTCGAGTATGACTCATAGCGACACAGTGAACAAAAGATCTGAACCCTGTTCTATCCTGTGCCATCCTCACACTTCCTGACACACAAGAACCCATTGTGGGGTCACCGTGTGAATCCACTTGGTTGAGGGTCTTCCTCTCCCTCGCCGACCCACCACCGTTCCCAGCATCATGTCCTTCTCCAAGGAATAGCACCTCCTGACCCTCAGTGAGATGGATTATCTGCAATAAATGGCTCACACAGCCGTGGTTAAGAGGGTGGTTTAGGACCAAGCAGCATTTCAGTTTGTCATACGTAGGGTTACCTGAGTCTGAACTGACAGCGCCTAGAAACAACACGTTCAGTGGCCACAGATCCACACCAGACCATGACAGGCAGACTCATGTTGTTAAATGCCTTCAATACCTCTATGGGGGCAGGGATGCATCTTCCCGTTTTAACAGATGGGCACACAGAGACTCAGAGATTCAATAACTAGCCCAAAGCCACACAGCTAGAAGGTGGCAGACCGCATGTCTCCTGGAGCCCAAACCCAAGTCTACTGGAGCCCAAAGCCTTTGCCCTCAGCCCATGCCTGGACTTCCTGCTGAGAAGCCAAGCGAGTGGGGATAGGGCCCTCCATGACTGATCCGCACCTCTGGTCTGCAGTTCCGTTACAAGGAGGCCTTCCTGCGAGACCGGGGCCTGCAGATTGGCTACCGTAGCGTCACTGATGACCCGCGGATGAAGCATTTTCTCAGCGTTGGCAAACTCCAGAGTGACAATGAGTATAAGAAGGACTTTGCCAAGACCCGGTCCCAGTTCCACAGCTGCGTGGACCAGCCCGGCCTCCTCCAAGCCAAGCGGAGCCAGCAGCTGGCCAGCGACGTGCACTACAGGCAGCCCCTTCCCCAGCCCACCTGTGACCCTGAGCAGCTGGGCCTGAAGCACGTGCAGAAGGTCCACCAGCTGCAGAGTGATGTAAGTGCCAGCACCCTCCCCGGTGGGGCCCTCTCCCTGCTTCCCCCTCATAAGGAGCCATGGCCAAAGTCCACACTCTAACATAGACTCCAAGACCCCCAACACTTCAGTGCTGGGTACACCAATGAAAATGACTGCCTTTTGTCCAAGGAGCCCCGGCGACACAGGGATTAAGTGCTTGACTGTGAATTGAAAAGTTCTGCTTAAACCAAACAGCCACTTCACAGGAGAAAACTTGGGGGCCTGCTCCCATAAAATCATGGTGTAGGATGTCCCTGGGGTCAGTTCTAGAGTGTTTGAGGACTGCTGGGAGTCAGAACTGATGCGGTAGTATGCAACAATAACCACTGGTTGAGTCCTCATTGTGGGCCGAGCTCTGTGCCAAATGCTTTTAAAGCATGTGCCACAGAGCTCTCACAGCAGGTCCAGAACTGACCCATTTTACAGATGAGGAAATTCAGAGACGGTGAGGAATTTACTAAAGATCACTCAGAAAATGTACGGGAAGTCTGGGACGCGAACCCGCTTTGACTTGATGCGAGGGCTTGCCCGACTCTCAATCCCAGCCCCTCACTATTTCTAAGGCGTCTTAATAGCTGTCCCAGAAGTAGCCTTTGCCCTTTGCCTGGGAGGAAATTGAAGCGAAAGCCACAGATGAATTAAAGTAGCAGTTTAGACTTACACGGGGCCTTCTGACTCTCCAGCCAGCTTCCTTCTCACCCCACCGCACTCAACTTTCCACCCTCAGTGCAGTCCACACTGTTTGAACAATGAGATGCAAGACACACTACCATGTTGACCAGCCCCCAGCACAACATGCCCATCAAGTCAGCACCTCCTACTGAAGTTGAATTGACCCCCCTCATCCTGCTTTACCAACAACATAATCTCCATCCTTCAGTTGCCCTTTTAATCCTGTCTGCTCTCAGTCCTTGCTGACCTGTTCCTCTTGCCTCCCTCTTGCCCCCAAGGTCAAGTACAAATCAGACTTGAACCTGACCAGAGGTGTTGGCTGGACCCCTCCGGGCTCCTACAAAGTGGAGATGGCTAGGAGGGCTGCGGAGCTGGCCAATGCCAGGGGCCTGGCGCTCCGGGGCTCTTATGTGAGTAGCTGCAGCACCAACCCACTGCCTCCCAGGCCTGGGGGGAAAGGCAAACCCATTGTTTCTTTTCAGAGTTTATTTTTGGCCAAAGGTCAGTGGCTCTAAAGAAGTGTGAAATGCCGCTTTGGCAAGGCCCCTCATTTCGTGGGTCTGAGATGACCAGGCGAGTGGCACGTGGGTTAAACTTCCTGCAGAGTTTTCTCTGAAGTCCCAGCCATTAGTTCTGCAGAGGAGAACCTGCCAGGGCGACATCAATCTGGGGCTGGGGGCAGCCAGGCTCTGATGACTGCCTGCTCCCTACATGCTCGGAAAGGGTCGGGGACTCACTGGCTGCAAAGGTTGGGGTTTTAAACCTGACTTTATTCAGAAAAAAAGACAGCATGTCCAGATGAGAGACTGGCTTTGTTATGCGCTCATTCTTACCTTGAGGGTCCTTTTTCTTGGAAAGAAGGGCGGAAGGGGCAGTGGGGCGGGAAGGTGGACATTTTAAATGCTTCTGGAGCCTGTTTTTGTTTGTTGTTGTTATGTGCCGTCAAGTCGTCGAGTTGTTTGCGACTCATAATGACCCTATGCACAACAGCCCTAAACTCCGCTCTGTCCTGTGCCAATCGCACTGTCTCTGACACACCCATCCCGATTACCCCAGACACTGAATCAATCCACCTCACAGAGGGCCTTCCCCTCCTGCGCTGTCCCTCCACCCTCCCAAGCATGATGTCCCTCTCCAAGGACCCGTCCCTCCTGGCAACATGTAGGCTCCTGGAGCCTGTAGGTGATAAAAACAGATAAGGACTGATCTACTAGCTGAAAGTCTGGTGGTTTGAATCCATCCAGGGGTGCTTTGTAAAACAGGCCTGGGTGATGTTCTGAAAGGTTGTTGTGAGTCAGAATCAACTTGATGGCAATTAATGATTGTCAGCTAGCCATCTTATAGATGGTTTCATCTGGGCGAGCAGGGAGGGAGCTTGGTGTTAACACTGGGGTCTTGTGTTTGGCTTTGGCAGGAGGTCCCCACAGCTGTGGATAATGGTAGTGAACTTCAACGGGAAGATGTGAATCCTGACGCCACTGAGATTCTGCATGTCAAAAGGAGGAAGGCTGTGTTCTGAGGGCTGATGCCTTCCCCAAGAGTCTGCAGACAGAAGCTGGAGAGGGCATTGATGCCCAGAGACAGGCTTCACTTGGCTTCAGCTTGGGCGAGCTAGAAAAACAAGCATCTCTGCCAGACCGCTCAGCTTCTGGTGTATGAAGGCTAATGGAGAAAGATGTCTCTTTGGTCTCTATTTAGGACCAAGCCGTGGCTCACTGGTTCTGTCGAGCAGCTCATGCATCTGGGATTAAGGAATAAAGATGTACAGACCACTCCCTCTGGGCTGGGCATTCTGTTACTCTTCATCCACACGCGTTCCCAGTACAGCCAGTCTCTGTGGACAGTGGTTTTCTAGAAGAACAGTTATTGGAAGCAAGTGGGATACATTTCAGGGTGATTCCATCATCCCTTGGGTTTAGGGGAGGAGGCACAGAGGGGGGTCTCTGAAATGGTGGAATTGTTGGTGCAGGAAGCCCCAGAAGGGAAGGAGGCGTGTCTGCTGCCTGCAGACACTCCGCTGAGTGGTTTCCTGGGAAGCTCCCTGGGTCCATCACTGCCCATGTGGCCTCATTTTGGGGTGCTAAAGTGAAAGGGTGCCGAAGTTTGGAAGGTGCCTCCTTAAATGCCGTCTTCTCCCCGGATGGTGTCTGTGATCCAAGTCAGGTACTCCGTCACTTGGGTGTAGACTCCTGGTTTCTTCCCACATTCCAGGCCCCAGCTCACTATCCCGTAGACGTAGAAGGTGCCGTCCTTCTCGCAGGTCAGAGGGCCTCCCGAGTCTCCCTAAAGATAAAGAAGAATACATTTGATTGGATGAGGAGAATACACCCTGAGGAGCTCCCCACGCCCATAAGAGGATACCAGGTCAACAGACACACAAAGAAATGCCCAAAATCACTGGCAAAAAGAGAGATGCAAATCAAAACCACAATGAGATATACCACCTCACTCCAGTAGCAGTTGTTGTTGTTATATGCTATCGAGTCATTTGCGACTCATAGCGACCCTATGTACAACAGCCCTGAACCCTGCTCTATCCTGTGCCAATCGCACTGCCTCTGACACACCCATCCCAATTACCTCAGTCACTGAATCAGTCCATCTCATAGAGGGTCTTCCCCTCCTGCGCTGTCCCTCCACCCTCCCAAGCATGATGTCCCTCTCCAAGGACCTGTCCCTCCTTGCAACATGTCCAAAGTATTTCAGATGAAGCCCCAGAAAGAATCCTTGCCTCCAAGGAGTTGCTTGGTTTAATCCTCTCCAGGATGAATCTGTTTGTAGCAGTGGCAAAGTTTAATAGGAAAGCAAGTAACACATGTTGAAGAGGATGTGGAGAGATAGGAACTCTTATACACTGTTGCTGGGATTGTAAAATCGTACAACCATTCTGGAAGGCAGTTTGGCATTTCTTCAAAAAGCTAAACATCGGATTCCATATGATCCAGCTATTCCACTGTTTGGAATATACCCCGAGAAAATGAGAAATGAGGCATGAATAGAGATCTGTACACCAATGTTCATAGCAGCAATATTACCCATTGCAAGAACATGGAAACAGTCCAAATAATCAAGCACAATCAGTTGTATTGAGAAATTGTGCTATACTCACACGATGGAATACTATGCAACAAGCAGGAGCAATGATTTAGAAAGTTACTATGTAACTTGGGAGGGACTGGAAAGCATTATGCTGAGTGAATTAACTCAGTCCCATAAGGACAAATATTGTATAAAACCATTAATGTACAACTAGATAACTAGTAAAATGAGTTCAACAGAGGACGCATGTGCCCTACCTGTGCCTTAGCTTCTGTGCAAAAGAGCACTTGAGCATCTGAACCTGCCCTCCCCCAACCCAAGCTGCAAGGGGCCTCTGAACACTGCATATCCTGTTAGCCTCTTCATCAAGTGAGATTTGAGTCCCTAACCTGGCAGGAGTCTTGTCCAGGTTTCTGCAGGTTTCCTGCACAGATCATGTTGTCATCAATCATGTGGTCGTAGAGTCGGCGGGTGTTGCACACAGTGTTGGCGATCAGCTTGACTTTGGCATCTAGGAGCTGGCGGGACCCTTCACCTGTGGAGAGGAGCAAAGAGGGTTCAGTGTAGGAGTCAGGGTGCTTCTTACTCCATCATGAGACAACAATGGTTGCACGTGAAATAAAGGATATTACCTGTGGTTATGGTTCTCCATTAGAAAGCCATTTATAAGCCAAAGGGAGACCATAATAAAGAGGTAGGGAAGCCAGAACAATAGAAACAAAACAACCAGAATGCAATTCCGGAGAACAATGGCACATTATGGAAAATAGAACGGATGCCACTGGACAATTTCTATAGAAATTGTCAAATAGGAACCAATTTTGCTATGTAAGTTTTTAGCAAAAACAACAAAATACTGTTAAAAAGAGCAACTATGTAGTAGAAATGATTACTACATTGAAGAGTGTTTTGTTTTCCAAAGCCGAATCTGACATAAAAACATGTTACTAAAAAAAAAAACAAACAAAAACCAAAAAACCAACAAAACCACATCATTTCCTTGGTCAAATAGAAAAAGAAGAGGGAGAAGGAGAGGGTGGAGGAGAGAGAATGCACAGTGGTATTGAAAGGCCAGAATGGAGGAATGTTTTGAGGAAATAGGTAGGGAGTCTCACCTCTCACCTCCCAAGTCTGGGGCCAGCCTTTAAGGATGGAGTGTATTGGGGCTCTTTCTTTCCCCTTTTCTAGCCCAGCATTATCAAAATTGAGCAGAATTATTTGTGTCTATTCAACTATATCATGTGGCCTTTGTGATCAGGGATGGTGTTTTAAAAATTCTTAATCTCTTGTGTCTAGCAAAAGGGCTGACACATGGTGGACAATGAATAGATGGTGGAGTGGACATACACATACTTAAAAGGTCAGAGTGGATCACCTGCTTCTGATGGCAGGTATTTTCTCCACCACCCCCCCTTTTTTTTTAAATGCCATTGAACCAACTCCAACTTGTGTAGACCCCATGCGCAACTGAGCAAAACACTTCCAGGTCCTATGCCAGCTTCCTGACGAGTAGGTCAACTATTGCGATCCATGGAGTTTTCATTGGCTGATTGTAACAAGTCCATCTCCAAATTTTCTTTCCTAGTCTGTTCCTAGTTGGTTTAGTCACTGAAACCTGTTAAGCAGCATAGCAACATGCAAACCGTCACTGTCAGGGAGAGGGTTGTTGTGCATGAGATGTAGTGGCCTCTCCTGAACTTAGACCTCCTGCATGGAAGGCTAGAATTCTACCACTGAGCCGCTAGTGTCTCATTCTCATTTCCTTAAGATAATGAACCCAGTCGAAACATTTCACTATCTTTGAACATGAAGTCTTAGAAGTGTGTTCATGAAGGACAAAATCATTCTGACCTAAGATTCCAGTCTAAGACATTACCATGCTGACAAGACCATCCTTGAGTAAAAGAGAAGTCAAAAGGTTTAGAGCAACTGTAGTGTAGGTAGCTACAAAAAAGAGTTTCTGGGTTGACCTTAAATCCAATTAGCCAGAAATCTTTCTTAAAGTCTTTTGACAAATTTGTATGTTCTCTTCTTTTTTTCTTGCTGAATACAAGTCTATTTAAAGTGACTCTTAACTTCTACTGTGTGCAGGATAAGACTTGGGGAGAAAAAAAAGACATTTTCAGTATTTGGAAAAAATTTGAAATACCCTTTGGAATTTATTTGGATTAGAAGACATTGTCATTTCAGTTCTGTGAGAAATTGAACCTTATTTTTAGAGAAGAATTAAGTCATAGTTATAAATCAACAGTTGAATTTAATAAAAGTTTAGAAACGATCTCCTATGTGTAGAACACGATACAAAGTATTATGGAGGAGAGCAGATGAATGAAACCTGGCCTCTGCCCTCTGGGAGTTCACTTAATGAATATTTTTATAGAATCTGTCATCCCCTATGACTGTGAAGCCACATGTAGAAAATAAGTATGGTTTTTAAGAAGCTAAAACTCAGTTGTTTAAACAATAAAGCTAAGAATTCAACAAATTCTTTTTTATTCTCAAGTTAATGTTCTTTTCCAAACTTAGGGCAAATGATAGGTCTCCATAGGTACAGAATCAATACCTGTAAAGGTCAAGTCTCTAGATGTGGGGAGTTCTGGTGGCCTAGCGGTAAGGAACTGTGCTGCCATACCAAAGGTATATGGTTCAAACTCACCAGCTGCTCCGCAGGAGAAAGATGGACAATCTCCTGCTGTGTGATTTACTGCCTCTGAAAACCCACCGGAGGGCCAGCTATGAGTTAGTTCTGACTTAATGGTACACAACAACATCTAGGAGTAGTAAATAAAACGATTTGCATCTCAGGAAAGAGAGGAGTTAAGACTTCAACGAGAACTTGAATGTTGAGGTAGATACTTTCTCTTGCCTATGCATATGAATGTGAAATTATTTTAAGTTCAGGAGGGTTGTGGATGCTGAGTTTCTCTGGTTGGGGTAGCTCGCTTGAGAATGAAGAGAGCAGCACTCACCTGTTTCTGTGACACCCCAGCCAGCGATGTGACACTCGGTCCCGGAGGGAAAGGGAGCATCAGGAAGACACACTGCCTTCACATACTTGGATTCCACAGCGCAGCGACCATCTGCTGACTTCAACTTGAGCAAAGCTACATACAGAGAGAGAAAGGGAATAAGTGAGTGATGCCCCTCTTTGGTCAAAGAAGATTCAACTTTTGATTGGGAGGTTGTTCTAGTGAAGTCCCATCCCCAGTGCTCTAAAAATGTTCTTCCCCAATCATTTATTTTCCTTCTCCCAGAGTAACCCATCGGGCTAAGGGAAATATCAAGCAATAATAGTTGGGTTTGAAATACGTCCTAATCTATCTTTGAAACAGACTCTAAGAAGATCAAACGCTATTGAGACAAGGGAGAGTGAGGTCTCATGAGTAGGGAAATAGGGTACAGGCTGACCATCAAGTAGTATATGTACCCGGGCACCCATCAGGGGTCACACACACACACACACACACACACACACACACACACACAAGAGGTTCAACACTATTCCCATTTTGTGAGAGACAGAACTAAAGCTCAGGAGGTGAACCTGGCCAGGAAGTGGAAGAGCAGGGTGGGATCCAAGACGAAGCTCTTGTTGCAACACAACATCTTAGTAACTCCTCCCGCAACTTAAAAACTTGTACGTACTCATCTCTAACACTAGCACACGTTTTTAAGAACCAGAGCTCTGGAATAAATGATCTGTCTTGCAGAGTCTATGGACTAAAAGAACTAAATTATGAAACGGCACCTTCTACAACCAGACTTCAGTAGAGAAATCCACCCAGGGCAAGGCCCATAGACATGCACCATATTGAGAAGAGACTTGCCAATATCGTTGGAGGGAATCTCGTCTCTTTCATTGTAATGGTTGTGCTTAAAGATCTTCTCCACTCCAAGGGTCTGCTCATGGAATTCTGTCTTCATCAGATCCTGGGCTCCTAACACCACTCTCAGATGTTTGGCTTTTAATCTGGAAGGGAAAATAAAGTGGTCAGGAAACAGCTTCAGGATATGGGAGATGAGAGCCAAACTCTGGCTCTGCCCTCTGTCGCCTAGCTCTGTGCCCAGATCATGGAATCTTCTGTAGCCCCTGTATCCTCACGTGTCGGGTCGTCGTCGTCATCGTCGTCATCACCACCATCATTATCATCATCCTAACAGAACTGCATTGTGTGGTTTACACAAGATAACTTAAGGAGACTGCTTTATTGCTTTATTCATGGAAGCAGTTTGTAAACATACTTTGTAGTCCCTTCTTTCCCAGCACCAGCGCCCTTCTATTCTTCCTGACCTTGCTAAAGAAAATTCCATTGCCATTGCAAACAAATATTCTAGAATATATTGGTATGTGCTAATGATGGCATCATTTACCTCTCATGAAGGTCATCTCCTATAGTCCTGGAGGAAGTTGTGTAATAAGTGAGTGAACTGGAAGGCCTTCAAGGTTGTTGTTGTTATGTGCTGTTGAGTCGTTTGCGACTCATAGCGACCCTATCTATGTACAACAGCCCTAAACTCTGTTCTATCCTGTGCCAATCACACTGTCTCTGACACACCCATCCCGATTACCCCAGTCACTGAATCAATCCACCTCATAGAGGGTCTTCCCTTCCTGTGCCGTCCCTCCACCCTCCCAAGCATGTCCCTCTTCAAGGACCGGTCCCTCCTTACAACATGTACAAAGTATTTCAGACGAAGCCTCAGAATCCTTGCCTCCAAGGAGCAGCCTGGTTTAACCCTCTCCAAGATGAATCTGTTTGTTTTCTTGGCAGTCCAGGGTACATTCAATACTCTTCTCCAGCACCACAGCTCAAGGGCATCAATTCTCCTTCTATCCTCCTTAGTCATTGTCCAACTCTCTGATGTATAACAAGTAATTGCAAAGACCAGGGCCTATAACAGATGCACCTTAGTCTCCAGAGTGACACCATTGCTCTTCAGTACCCTGGAGAGCTCCCTAACAGCAGACTTTCCCATCGCAATATGTTTTTTTATTTCCTAGCTACTGGTGCGAAGAGTGTTGACCGTGGAGCCAAGCAGACTAAAGTTGTTAACAGGTAGTCTAAAAAATCTGGGCTTAACAACAACCAGCCTTGACTGTAAATTTAGCAATTTCTGTGCATCCCAAAGGAGCTCGCTTCTGATGTCCTCAGAAGGCCTGCGTGAAAGAGACCTGATCCAGAAGGTTCACTGATGATGATGACAGATTGTGGAATGGTTTTCTTTGTCTGGGGCAGACCCCATGAGGTGCAGGCGCAGGCTTTTGAAACAGATAGATTTAGGATTGCCTCCTACTCTCCTATTTACTTTGCACATGATTTTAGGCCAAGTGCTAATCTTTTCCAAGATTCATAGTCTTCATGTATAAGGTGGTGCTGATAATAAAGACCTTTTACTCAACACATCTTTATTTGAAATATAGTGAGTTCTAGGCACATGTGTATACACACACACACACACACACACACACACACACACACACACACTGTGCCCTCTCTCAGCTTTCCTCCCAGGAGATCACTCTAAGGACTAAATGGCATGGTCTTTGCACTTGAGCATTCTAGACTTGAGGCTAGTTTCTACTTGGTTTTAAGGGGTCACTACCTGAGCCCCCAAAGCCTGCTTGAGCTACCAAGATGCTGCTGAGATGAAAAGACCACCCCTCCCCCATCCTTCCGAGTCTCCCAGGCCTCAGCCTCCAGCGGACCTCTCAGTGCAGTGGGCAGCCGTGAGCACCCAGCAGGGGTGGATCAGGGCTCCGCCACAGAAGTGGTTCCGAGGCATGGCCTGGGCCAGCGGCAACAAGGTCTGCAGGGACACCAGCCAGGGGTGCTTGCCCGCCGTGCTCTTAAAGCCTCCGTAGATCCTCTTGATCTTCTGCTCTCCTCTTTCCGGCCTCCCGCAGGTGTCAAACCGTGGAGGCTTGCTCACGGGCTCCATGGGGCTCTGCTCAGGGTCCACAAGGTCTGTGGGACAATGAAGACCAATCATGATTACCCACCTTCTCTCCAGCTCCCAGGGAGACTTAACTCAGAATTCATGGTGACTCGGAATCCTGTAGCCCAGCAAGTGAGCAAAGCTAAGAACCTGCACAGGTACATACAAGGTGGGCAGAGAGAACTCTGGTGGCCTCCTGGCAAGAAACTGCACTGCAATCCCAGAGGTGTGTGGTTCGAATCCACCAGATGCTCTGCTGGAGAAGGAGGGGCAATCTCCTCCTGTACCAGTCAGATCCCATTTGATGGTACATACACACAAAATGATAAAATAAAAAGAAAATTAAAAAAAGGTGGGCAGGTAGGAGGTGCACAGTTAGTATTCATGAAATTGATTTACATAGAAAAGCTACAGGATTAAACATGAAGATGTTGCTTTTGGACTTATTTCAAAGTGTGTTCTTTTCAGAACATGTATACACATGGAGATGTATGCTGAAATCCATCACTGGCTGTATACTTAGCTATTAATTAATTCACATACATGTTGTTTTTGTTGTTCAGTGCTGTTGAGTCGTAGGCGACTCATAGTGACCCTACGAACAAAAGTCCTCGACACTTGAATGTGTGACTTTCATCCTTTCTCCAGGTTCATATGGCTTCTGGAGGCAAGCTATTTATGGAAGCGGATGCCACCCCTGCTTCCAAGCTTGTGTGAAACGGGGAGCGTCCCATATATATAAGTCCAGGTGTTTTTTTCAGGTGTAAACTCATTATCATCAAGTTGATTCCATCTGATAGAAACAGTCGACCTATCCCATAGGCTTCCCAAGGCTGTAACACTTTATAGAAGCAGACTGCCACATCTTACCCTACCCACAGCCCAGAAAGGCTTATGTGTTTGAACAGCTGAGCTTCTGGTCACCAGCTGACTACTTTAACTACAGTACCACCAAGGTGCCATTGTTGTTATTGTTTTATGAGCCACTGAGTCAGAATCATCTCATATCTAACTCTCTAGAGGGTTTTCAGAGATTGTAAATCATCTTGAAAGAAACTGTACTTCTCTTTCTCCTGTGGAGCAGCTGGTGGATTTGAACCACCTGCCTTTAGGTTGGTAGCACAACTCCTTACCATTGGACCACCAGAACTCCTAACGTGGCAGTCTGGACCAGTTTTTTAGGTATAAAGAGGCGATATTTAAGCAAAGTGAAGTAGGGGATGGATATAAGACATCTCCCCAGATAGTGGCGATGCAGGCAATGAGAAGGGCTGGATGGGTGATTCTTTATTCTGTGTGAATGATAAGGTCGAGGACATTACAGTGCATTTGAAGATATAGGGAATATCTCCTAGGGAACAGGATGTTTTTTAGTTAGACCTCAAAGAATTATTAGTGATGAACAAGAGATAATAGGGTGGAGAATTGGGAACTGAACCCACTCAAAAAACAAAACCAAAAACACTACCTTCAAGTCAATTCTGATGTGTGCTGCCTTCCATTGGGTTTGGGGGTGGGTATAAATCTTAATGGGAGGGGACTGCCTCATCTTTCCCCTGTGTAGTGACCTTGAAGGTAGCAACCCTGAATGTTACACGCTCTAGGCCTCATCACACGCTCATGACGGAGAGCAACATAAAAGTGGAGGCAGGGAACTGGAGCTTCCGAGAAGGTAATTCCACTGGCTAGGAAGAGGGGATGGATGCATCTTTACAGGTAGGGCTAGAGAGGTGGGCAAGGACATTCCAAGTTTGAGGGTGGAATTCAAACCATGGTACATCTTGAGTCCAAGCAACGTTTGTCCACCGTTGTCTGCCCATGGCCTGGCACACAACGAATGATCAACAGACCTATGCTAAGGGCACAGACTTGGCGTCAGAAAGTGTGCATTTACAGCTACATCACCTGGCCTGAGTTTCCAAATGTATTGAGGTTGCTCATGCCCTGAGACAGGTGCAGGGGAATCAGGAAGTTGGGTTGTCACTGGGATTGGAATTGACAAAGCGTGGGAGAAAGGGACTCCAGTTGCATCTATCTGTGGATCCTCAATGTCCCCACCACCTAGGACTCCAGGCAGCTGTGGCCTTACCTAGGGCTGAGCATGGCGAGACGTCACAGTACTCCCATTTCACCTTTGCACTGTTCACTTTGATGAAACACCAGGGCTTCTTATCTCCATCTGGATTTCTTGAAAGCAAACAAACAGCAATTATCAAAACAAACCAAACAAAACAAAAAGCAACCCAAAAAATCTAGTTAAGGTGAGGCGCATCCATTGGACTCTCATTAAAGGTCCCAAGCCCTTACGCTCCCATTGGGAATCACATTCTGTTGACTCCTTCATTGCTTTTCAAGCTCTAAGACATAAGGATGGTTGTTCCAGAAAACATTAAATTCCCAGAAGAAAATGTCAATGGACAAGAGGTGGAACATAGGTAGTCTATGCCTGATTTATAGAACATACCAGAGGGTGTTTAGGAAAATAACTGAGGCCCCATTGAAGACATGTCTGAGAGTGGGGTGCCTTCACCTGAACGTTAGCTTTCATTATTGCCCAGGGAGAAATCCTGAAGCCAGTTCCATGATGCCAACAGTTCAAGAGGATGGATGTGTAAGGAAAGTTCTGTTTTGTGCAAAGGAAATCCTACTTGCTTCTTGGAACCAGTTTAAGGCCATGCAAGGAATGACTTCTTGTTTAAAAAATCATGCATGCCCTTGACTTTGATTAGCCCAAGGGTAATGGGAGAGAACAAGAGAAAGGTCTGCAGGCAGATGAAGAGAGTAATTAAAGTCATCACCAGGGAGGTGATGGCATTATTCTTACTGAGCATACTGTAATGCTCACCAAACATTTTATTTCCTTCTCTGCATTTCTCCCTTGAGGTTGTGCAGGGCCATATGACTACCGGTCAATGAAATGTGTGAGTGAGGGAATGAGTCACTTGTCAGTTTGGGTAGTAAAGCCAGGTCTTTTTCATTTTCCAGGCTCTCCTGACCATTCCTGGATCTTTGAGGAACTTTGTGGCATCTAGTCTTTCAACTCCCATCCCATTCCCACCAACCCATCTGACCAATGCCACATGAGCAAATAGGAACACAGATATATTTGAACTGCTGAGATTCGTGGTTTGTTACAGCAGCAAAGCCTAATCCACCTTGAGCAGTTCAATCCTCCTGGAAAGAAAGCTGATGAGTTTGTAAATCACTTCCAAAATTGCCAACTCAGCCCAGAAAATGTGGATGCAGAGAATGGGAACAGAGAGACCTTTATACTGACTGATTCGCAGCTAAGCCTCGATCTTGGGGAGACGTGATTTGTTTTTTTACCTGCAGAAGTTGTGTTCTCCAATCCCAAGGGCCTCAGCATCTTCCATAAACATGTTGTAATTCTCCTGCAAGAGGAGGTGGGAGTTCCAGTAAAGGCATGAGTGCTGGTTGACTGTCCTACTCACTGTCCCTCGGTAGGAGGAGCCATCGCCAACATAGCAGTCATCAGAACCTCGGGAAAGCAGGTAGGCACGTGAGGGCTGGCGGCACCTGGCAGCTGCTCCCCCCAAAGGCGAGTGGGCCAAAGGCAGTAGGATTGTGTCTAAATGTTTGCACCCTGAGATTTCACCTCCAAGTCTCAGAAAGAAGGTAGCTTGACAATCCTCTTTCAATTTAGCTTTAAACGATGAGAGATTTGGAGGTGGAGGAGAGGTTTGGCTCCTTAGGTTTGGTTCCTTAGGTTTGGCTCATGCAAGAATCAGTGCAGGTTGAGTTGAGACTCAGGAGTGAACAGATATGTTCACTGAGACCAGTTCATTGCTTTTCTTATTTGTAGCCAGCCCACCCCATATCCTCAGCTTGGAAGGAGAAGCAGGAACAGAGTTTAGGGAATATGACTTGAACTATATATATTATGGCAACAAACCCCAGATGAAGCATATGCCAAACTCCTCTCTGATGGAGTGATGAGAGAGACTCATACCTATTTCACAGAATTTCCCCTTGAACTCTTCAGGGCAGGTACAGGTAAACTTGGATCGCCGGCTCTGCCGGGAGCAGGTGCCACCGTTCTGGCAGGGATTGGGCCTGCACACCGGAACCGCTGTGAACACAAGAAGGCTCTTCAGAACTGGAGGCTACATACAAGATGACCAAGAGATACAGGTGACACTCTTCTAGTGCTCATCCTTTTCCAAAAGATAGGACACCGAAGGAGAAAGACAGACCCCAGTGCACAGCACATGAGTTTTAAGAAGAAACATGAAGAAGTATGGGTGAAAATAATGCATAAATAACCAGTAGGCCTCTCAGTAAGGGAGAAAGGGCGGAAATGGTGGAGCAACTTTGAGACAGGGTGAAACCATTCTTGTTCAGCTTCTTGATAACCGTGTGACTGGGAGCTAGCTTTTCAACCTTTCTCCAGTCTTTTCATCAAGCAAGCTCTTCCTGGCAATGTTACTGTGAGAACGTGAGCGAGAAGACAATACTACTGACTCATGTGGAGGGGCAGAATCGGACATCACCTGGTCCATATAAGGGAACCGGACTGGTAACTGACCACAGTTGGAAACAACATGAGCTGGTGAAACAAATTAGTGCTTGTTACCAATCGATCCTGCTGGAACCAAACAAGGCAAAGAAGTGGCCAAGTCTCTCGAGATTTAGGCCTATGTAACAAGGGCAGAGACCGGAGCAAGAGGGGACTCTTTTGCCTTTTCTGAGGTAGGTCTTGTTGCTTTAAAAGTGCCTTCCCTTGCCCATCATTACCCTGTCTTTTTGCCCTGGAGCCTTCCCACTTCCTTCCGCATCCCCTCCACCCACTAAGCTAAGCAACCCTGTGGTTTTGCCCCTAAACATCCTCTCCCCACCCCCCTCCCACCTTGAGTTCAGTGGTGATTAATTTTATAAAACATCATGCATGAGAATGATTGTAGGAAACACAATGTGAATGAAGAATAGCGTGAAATACAATGTATATGAACTTTGTAAGCAAACTGATGTAATTGTTGATTGCCTTCGAGTCGGGCATGACTCGTAGTGACCCTTTGAACAAAAGGCCTGAAGCACCCCTACAACTATCGACATTTATCAAAGTTCATAGAGTTTCCGGAGGTGTGTTGTTTAGGAAGTGGATGCCACTCCTGCTTCCAAACTAATAATAATAACAACAACAACAACAATAATTTTCCTTATCTGTCTTCACCTATCGTTCTGTGTGTGTACCACCTGTTGTTTTTCTATTAACTAACCAAGCCCAGGAATCTCTTGGAATGTTAATGGTGCTCTGGGCTTTAAGAAACTATCTCTCCCTCACTTTCTAATCACTGTGAGCTCGTTTGTTCCACTGGGGTCCCTCTGCCTGTTTCTCCTCCCTCTCCCCGCCAGACAGATTAGTGCTCCCCATGAAGAGATCTTCTGGAACCATCAGGAATAGCACACTTGAATTTAGAGCAGTGGCTAAGTATATTCCCCCTACATGGTCTTGTTTGGATAGTAAGGGACACACACGTATCTGTCATTTCCCACTAAACTCTTCGGGGGTATCCAATCTCAGTGAGACCTAGTTAGAAGAGCCCATCTTGGCTGGCAGAAAACATCAGAAATACCTGGACTCCCACGGAGGAGGATGAAGAGACCCGGTCAAGACAAGGGTAGAGAAAAGCAAGCACAGGGGGACAGGGGAAGAGGGTGGGGGAGACGCTTACCTCTGGAGCAGTCGGTGCCCATGTAAGGGTGTTTACAGGCACAGCGGAAGTAGGGAGAGCTCTGAGTAATGAGGCATTCACCTCGGCCACATGGGTTATTCTTGCACTTGTTTTTCACTATAGAATATAATAAGGAGGGGGCAGAGTGTTAAGGCATCCTTTGAGGGTACCTTTGACTTCGAGGCATACTTGTCTGCCACAGGCATCACGTCAGTTGCTGAGTCAGTTCCACTCAGGGAGACCCTGAACATGTCAGAGCAGAACTGTACAGCACAGGGCTGTCAACGGCTGTTATTTTTTGGATGTAGACCACCAGGCCTTTCTTCCCAGGCATCTCTAGCTAATGGCAACCTTTTGGCAAACATCTGGCATGCTAGCTGTTCGCCCTCCCCAGGGACCCCATCATAAGCCCAGCACCAGTACCACGTGTGTGGATGAAAGTGTATGAAGTGGTAGAGTGTGTGTGTGTGACCTTGTCCATGGTCCTGAAGAGCCAGGATACACCAGAAAATGCTTTTATCTTGGGGTCCCTGATGGATGCTCCCCAGTTTATTCCCATGTGCAGAGTCTTCCTTTTCTATTTTTTTATAAAGGCCTTGATTTTTCACACTTTCGATAAGAAAATATACAAGTTGTGTTTCTGCATTTGTAGCTGATCTAACATTTCTTTTATGGAGATGCACAGGCTTACCTTAAGGTCCATTTAGGGAGTGGTCAACCACATACCTGTCTGTGGTCCCACAAGTTGTCTTTTTCATTTTTAAGAAATGCAGCTCTCCTTTAGCCTACAATTTCCCTCTAAAGGTTTAAAAGATCACCCCCACCCCCACCCCCCTCCACTCAGATTTTTGGATCAGTTGACCATGGTGAGATAGAGACAAGTCAGGCGGAAGGCGTGGCTTGGGGGTCCACGTTCTCAGGATTTGTCCAGCAAGTGAAATAGAGCAGATCTGGGCATGCTCCATTCTCTCTACTCCCCACGTCCCCCTTCACTCCACAGCTACTTTCTCAGACAACACAGCTGCTCCTTCCCATTCCTTCAGCAGCTGCCGGTAACCCCAATAGCAGCAGCAGTGACAATGAAGGCCCAAGGTGGGTTCCCCAAAAGCTTTAATGTGGTGTTCCCAGAAAGTCTAAGTCATGTAATGCTCTATTACACAGAACATATGATGGACATGTTGTTGTGTGTGTACCGTCGAGTCCGAACAGACCCATAGCCGACCCTCCAGTGGGTTTTCAGAGGCAGTTAATCGCACGGGAGGAGACTGCCCATCAGTCTCCTGTGGAGCAGCTGGTGGCCTCGAACTGCATGCCTTCGGGATTGCAGTGCAGCTTCTTACCCCCAGGCCACCAGAGCTCCATGGTGGACACGTATCTGCATATTACTGTTCCAAGAACTTTTGAAAGACAAACATTCACAGTCAACCCAGATACAGTGTTCAGGTCTGGTACCCCCAACTACTTGGAAACATTTGAGGAATTAAAGGATTGAAATTTGGGATGACAGAAGAAGAGAGAGGAACAAAAATTGCAGCCCGATGTAGTTGTTAGGTGCTGTTGCGGCCGCCATGACTCACAGGGACCCTGCGCGTAACAGGATGAAACTCTGTCCTGTCCTGCGCCCGCCTCACGTTCTCTGCTGTGTGGAAGCCCACTGTTGTAGCTACTGCATCAGCACATCTTGTTCAGGGGCTTCCTTTTTGGCTACACTCCCCACTTTACCAAGCGCAAGGTCTTTCTCCGGAGCCTAACCCCTCAGGATAATCTCCCCACAGGAAGTGAAATGGAATCTCACGCTAGCTGTCCTTCGCCCAAGTCAGATTTGTGCGTGTTTGTGTGTGTGTGTGTGTGTGTGTGTGTGTGTGTGTGTGTGTGTGTGTGTTCCGTCAAATTGCATCTGACTGGTGCCCCTCCTTCTCCGGCACAGCATCTGGTGGATTCGAACCGCATGTCTCTGGGATTTCAGTGCAGCTTCTTGCCACTAGGCCACCGGAGCTCCCCTGTGTGTGCTTTTGACAGTGTATGACAGTCAATATTTTTTTTCACCCAAATGAGAATTCAAAGGTGTGAGTTCTCCTTTGTTTTTCTTTATCCTTTGCCTAGCTTTGAAATGCATATGAAGTGACTGAAAAGGCCATGGCCGGAGTTCGATAATCCAAGTAAAATGACAGGCACCCTGTAACCTATATTAGAGGCATGAGACGCTCACTACCCCTCCAGGCTGCGCTATGGTGCGGCTCCCCAAAGGTGTCTGCACAGGGAACTGGAGCTGTTCCACTGTGCACATACAGGGTCACCCTGAGTCAGAGTCAACACCACCTCCCAACAACCTCTCTGCCAGTCAGCGCGCTGCCTTTGGGCAGGCTCCAGGTTCTCTCTAGGGAGGAAATTCACTCAGTGGCATTCTAGCTCAGTGCTTTATCCTGTGGCCTCTTTCTGTGCCCACGCATCGTAAGAAGGCAAACATAGTGTGTATCTGTGAGTGAGGATAGCAGGGAGAAGGTTCTCCACGGGTGAGGCCAGCAGGAGGAAGCTTCGGCCTGGGAACCAGGCTCTAATTCCTGCTCTCCTCACCAGCTGGGTGGCTTTGAGCAAGTCCCCTGGCCTCCCTTTCTCTGGCTGATCCACACCTCGCCTGCCCTGAGCTCCTTCCCATTCTCCCAGCTCAGGATACCAATTCTCTCTTGTTAGTCTAAAGACGCTTATGAACTTTGTATGTAAACCAGTATAATATACAGTTTTTTACAAAATATTCTGAAATTTTAAAGAAGGTCCTGAATTTGGGGGTGCGCTTTGGTCTGAGCCCAGCTTTTCCACTTTGTTAGCCTCAATCTCATCTGTAGACTACCTCGGCCCTAATTTAATCCTAATTCATGGTGACTCTGTAGGACAGTCTCAGGGCAGACCTGTCCCTTGGGGTTTGTGAGGTTATAGATATTTATGGTACTAAATTACTTCATCTTTCTCCCGTGAAGCAGCTGGTGGCTTTGAACCATCAACCACTGGCTAGCAGCCCTGTGCTTAGTTAACTGCAAAAATAAGACTCCTTAAAAAGGGCATCACAGTGTGTTGTAAGAATGAAATGCTGCCTGTGAGCAGGTTGAAGAAACCGTTCCGTGTGACCTGATACACAGAGTTCTAATACTTCCTGTGGGACCACCTGACCTGTCTTTAATCGCTAAAGCAGGAGGATGAACAAGCTCTTCTTCATCTCAGGAGATAAATGAACTGGGGACCACACACTCACCCTTTTGACACCTGCTTCCAGAGAAGAGTGTTGGGCAGCTGCACGTGAAGGTGTCCCCGCTGGCCAGGCAGTTCCCACCATGCTCACAGGGGTTAGACTGGCACGGATCTAAGGCACAGAGGTGGGGTCAACAGCAAGTAAGAAGCCCTATATCTTATCTAATGTCAACCTCCAGCCTCGAATGAGAGAGCATCTCTATAACCAGTGACTGGGGAAAAGAAGACACAGCATCATCCTTAAAGAGCCGGGAGAACTGTGATCGTACGGCCAGCCAGAGCTATTCAGGCTTGCCAGAGGACAGGCGAGAAGGAAGTGGGGCCGGCTCTCCTTGGCCTTGCTGGGACTGGGGTCTTTCTCATCGAGAGACTGCCCTTTCCACCATCAGTGTTTCTCTCTGCCCCGCCTCACTGGGAGGGCCACGGGGGTCTGTCTCTGATGCTGAAGGCATTTCACAAGCCCAGAGACCTCCCCTACTCTAGTGCCCAGGGGTGGAGGTCAGCAGTGGGGAAAGAACACCCACCACTAATGAAACACGAGCTTTCTGAACATCAGGGAAGAAGACCAAAGGCACGTGGGTGACAGAGGGATTGGCGGCGAGGAGGAAATGACCCAGTGGCCTTCATCTTTCTTCAACTACTTGTTCAGTTAGATTTTGTCATATTTCATCTGTGCCTTTGGCTTTTCATGGCTGGCTGAATGGCTCTTCCCTTGGGGAATTTTCCTCCTTCTGTTCACACACATTGTTCTTTGGTTCAGGAACTAGGATCCCTGGGCCCAGCTCTTGTTTTGATGGTCCCTTCTGATGTTCCACCGATGCCCCATATCTTGGCCCTGCCTTCCAGGCCACTTCGCACAGTTAACACAGCTTTTATTCCAGCTACTAAGTGCTTTCTGTTCCTTCTCTGGGCTCAGTCACATGGCTGTGCCTGGGCCCTGCTTCTCATTTTCCTCTCTGTCCTTATCGCTTGATGGCAAAGCCACAAACACAAGAAGTGCATGTATGTGAGTGTACACACACACACACACACACACACACCCCAACTTGGGATGCTTCTGAAGAGTAAAAGGAGAAAGAAAAACATCACAAAGGTGGAAGAAAAGGGAGTCCAGTGCCAATTTTATAATGCTACAGTTTGGTGCCAAATGCTACATTAGACTATTCTGTATACTTCAGCCTGGGCTGGCAGTCAGAGCTATGACATGGTTTTGTGCGTAACTCGTCCTCACAGTGTCAGGCCGTGGAACATTTGTTAAACTGAGAACCAGGCCCAGGTTGCGGTGCACTAAATTCACGTGTGACCTTGGCCTAGTCGCCTCCTCCCATGGCTCATTCTTCTAACATTTAAGAGAGGGTCTGTAGGGGAGCCCTGGTGGCAAGAAGCTGCACTGCAGTCCCAGAGGTGAGCAGTTCAAAACCACCAAGATGCCCTGCTGGAGAAGGAAGGGCAATCTCCTCCTATACCAGTCAGATCTGATTTGAAGGTACATACACACAAATTAATAAAAAATTTTAAAAAGTTTTTTAAAAAAAGAGAGCATCTGTAAGAACCTCTCCAAACCTCATAGTATATAATTTTAACATAAGATTGTGTTGTTGTTGATTGTCATCGAGTCAAGCATGACTCATAGCAACCTCATGAAAAAAAGACCTGAAAGCTTTTCTATAAAGTTCACAGTTTCCAGAGGCATGTGGTTTGGGAAGTAGATGCCACTCCTGCTTCTAAACCTGTCTCAAACAGGGAGCTCCAGCACTGTCCACCATGGGTAACAGTTATGGCACTTGACACCCCAATGGCACAAGGTTCAGCATCACAGCAACCCCAGGTTACCTCAATACAGCAAATTGTCAAAGGAGAGCTGTACCACTTAGAAGAATGTTCTTTCAAAATAAAATGACTTTTAAATACAAAGGTCCTCCCCAAGATCTTGTTGCATGTAAACAAGAGGCTTAAATACAAAAAATAACCAATATAATATGTTGTTATTCAGTCTAAATCATTTTGAACATGTCTTTCACAATGCTGGTCAAAGAAAGAGAAGAAAGACTTGCAGAGAGGCACACATGAACTTCCCTTCAGGTGAGCTGCCTGTCAGAGCAGGGCCTCCAGACCCGGACCCAGGACCCACCTTCCTCTGTATAGTACCAGTCGGGGTTTTCTGGGTCGGTACTGGTTGTGTTCTCTGCTTGTTCATAGTACTCATGACTGTACGCATAGGTGTCAGGAGTCCAATCTGAAAGGAGGAATAGTAAGAAGAAAACGTCATTAGACTCAAAGCAGCCGGCGTTTGGCTTAGTTGAAAAGCTCCTCTCTTAATGGCCTGTAGGAGGAGTCATTTCTCTTTCCTACTTCACAGCATTGAGATTAGTTGGCTCAGTGGAGAGAAAGTGATGTTACCAAGCCAAAAGTGGCTGACTCTAATCTGTGGACCTCAGCTCTGTTTTTCATTATTTTTGGTCAAACATTCTTCTAGGTTGTATAGCCCTGGTGTGTCCACTTGCTGTACAGAGGTAACTTGTGGTTGCAGTGAAGCTGAATACTGTGACACTGATGTGTCAAATGCGATAATGGTTACCCATGGTGGACAGTGTTTGGTGGGGGTCCCCGATTAAAACAAGCTTGGAAGCAGGAGTGGCATCCACTTCCAAAATCGCTTGCCTCTGGAAACCCTATGAACCTGGAGAAAAGATGGAAGTTATACAGTGTTCAGGTCTTTTGTTCAGAGGGTCGCTATGAGTCATCTATGACTTGACGGCACTTAACAACAACAACAGCTCTTCATACAGGGTGAGGGCGTGAGTGGAGACAGGTGCTAACTTGAGAAACAAGTGAGGTCTGGCATCTGGAATTTTCATCTGGGTGATGGTATGACAAGGAAAGCAGTGTTGGCCTTTGGCAGATTTGAGAGCATCTTATTGGACATAGGCTGACTAAGAGGCCTTCAATTAACTGTATGACCGTGGACAAGTCAGTTGTATTGCTGATACCTGCATTTTCACATCTGAAAGCCGAATGGGACCTAAAAGGACCAACTCACGTGTGATCTGCCCAGAATCATATCAAGTGGCACTTGATTGTTTTCTTGGTTGATTTTGTGAATGGTTTTTCCTCAGTGGAACTTTATTACTTCAGCTTCATGAAGTCATAAAAATGGATCACTTTTCTCTTACTCATAACATGAAATTCCTCCCAATTGTAACTATGAAGCCTCCCAACAGTTAACATTCGTGAGCCTTTTCTGTGAAACGGGCCAGGCCTTAGCCCTTTGAAAGAGCCCTGACAGTACAGTAAATGAAGCATTGGGTGGCTGAAAGGTCTGTGATCTGACTTCACCAGCCTCTCTGAGAGAGAAGAATGAGATGGTCAGCTTCTATAACAGTCTAGAACATTCTCAGGGACAGTTCTACATAGCCCTGTTGAATGAGTTCCAGTTGGCATTGACTCAATGGCCATGAGGCATTTTGGTCATTATTATGTCCATTTTAAGTTGAGAAATCTGAGGTTCAAAGAGGTTAAGTAATTTGCCCGAGGTCATGCAGCTAATGAGTGGCAGGATATGAACTCACACCATTGGCTTCCAGATAATCATTAAATCACATCAACTCAACCTCAACCTTCTTCTAGCTGCCTCCGCCTAACACTGCTTCCAATTTATGCACACTTAACACGTTGGAGAGAGTTTAGCCATTCCCCCGTTGACAATGCATTTTGCAAATTAGGAGTTGTCTGAAGACAATTGTGAAAATGTGCATGGCTCTTTGCCCAGTGATAGAGAAAGCAGCACGCTGTGTTGTCCCCAGGGGTCAGCCCCAAGCCAGGTAAGCAGGAGTGAAGCCAGCAAGCCCCAAACTCCTTGGTCTCTGGGGGTCTTGGGAGAGATGCAGGTAGTTCTGTGGCTCACGAAGAGGAGTTTGGGATTTGACGAAAGTTGGGTAGAGTTTGCTCCCTGTCTGGTGGGCGTGTGGCAAGTTGAAGCTTCAAGGAAGCTGCCCAGAGATGCATATGATAATGAAGCAGCGGTGAAAGCAGATAGCTGACTGGAAAGGGCACTCCCACAGAGCCGCTGATGGCTCGGAGGATGGCACTGTGCCTGCGTCTGATTATCAACCACATTATCTTACCCGGCTCTCACTCATTCTGTTATAGTCTTTATCTCCTCTGGCTTTTGAAAAATCGACTTTTGCACAATGGCTGTTTTATATTTCCCATTAAAATGGAGCTATCTTTTTTTATTTCTTTTTTGAATACGCCAACTCTGGTTCCTTGCCCAAGTTTCACCTCATTTATCACAGTGTCAAGTCAAGACTCCCTTTGCTTGCTCATTATTTCTCCCGAGCTGCTTTCCCCCACTATGGAAATGCCCCCAGAGGAGGCCACCTTTCCAGAGACGAGGATCTGGGTTGAAGATAAGACCATTGTCTTCCTGTAGCAAATAAAGTTTCCTTCCATCTAGCATGATAAAGCGGAGAGAGAGAGAGAGAAAAAAAGTGAGAGAGGGGAGGGCGAAATATTTTCTGGAGTTTGACATGAAAGATTTCAAACTGACATTTCGGGGAGACAATGGAGTTTGGTAATGGGGTGATTGCATCACTTCTTTCTTTTTCTCTTGCAGAGTTAGTTGGGGTTTGTTTCTCCCATAATAGGTGTTTATAGATAAGTGCCCAGCACCTTGCTCTCTTCGTGTCTTCCATCACTTTCAGTTTGAACAGTAAACTAGCTATTCCTGGATAAACCATTTAGACTCACCATCTGTTAAGATAGTTGGAAATGAGGAAGATTCTCATACAGGTGGGATGATGTGACTTTTAAGTGACAGGGGACAGATGGCATGTCTGATGGACAACACTGTGACTTGATTTCAGCCCTCATAAACAAGGTCTTCATCTTTGAGTGAAACTAGAGGGAGAATATAACACTTAGACTTTAAATCTGATTTCCTGACAACCAGTGAAATAAAGTCCTCTTAATCTCCAGGAAGGAGCCTTGGTTGAACAAAGAGTAAGAGCTTGGTTTCTAACCAAAAAAGACATCAATTAAAACCCACTAGCTGCTCTATGACGTTAAGATGTGGCATTCTGTCTTCATAACCATAACTATTACAGCCTTGGGAACCCTGTGGGACAGTTCTTCTCTGTCTCATAAGGTCACGAGGTGGATTGCCATGGGGACTGCTGCAATGGGCTTGAGCGTGTCAGAGACTGAGATAGGACAGGATAGGACACAGCACAGATCTGTTGTTCATAGGGTCTCTATGTGTTGTACTCAACTTGATGACACCTAACAACAGCAAGGGAAAACTGTGAGTTAGAAGAGAGCTGATGGCATAACACACACACA